TGCACGATATGTTGCAGGAAAAGAATATGTGGTACTTGAACAGGGTCGGCCACAAAATTGGTCACCAGCAGAGATTCGCCACGCATCTATTGTTTATAGATATGGTGCAAGAATTACAATTCCAGAAACTCTATATGAAGCAAAACATTTGCGAACTCTCTTATTGATCGGAGATTCTGGCTCGTTACAGAATGGAGATAAAATTTATTCAAGTTTTGAATACTTGCGAGTGCTAGATCTCAACAACTGTAATCTTGTTGATCTGCCGAATTCCTTGGGTGACTTGGTATGTTTGAGGTATCTTGACTTGTCTTACACGCTTTTCTCCCAGTTACCTGAAAGCATGAAGTATCTCTCTTCTTTGCAGACCTTAAACCTAATTGGTTGCCATAATCTTGAGATTTTGCCTTCTTTGGGATTACACCTAAGACATCTTAACTTAAGTGGAAGTGTGCGTTTGACTGATATGCCTCCTTATTTTAGACATTTAGTTCATCTTCAGACATTGCCACTTTTTGTTGTGCCGAAGTGGGTGAGGAATATTGAGCTGCAAGGTTTAAATCTTTATGGGGAGTTGAATATCACCCGCTTGGAGAATATTCACATTTCTTCTTCATTGATGCAAGATTTTAATCCTCGTGGGCAGTTATCTTCAGCGGAATCAGCAGAACTGCATAAGATGAAAAATCTTGAGTCATTGGGATTATACTGGGGTCTTATTCCGCAATTTATAGATTCATTCCCAAAACTACGTAATGCCCAACCTGAAGTAGGTGTCTCAGGATCACGTATAGCACGACAATCTGAAGCAGTTATTGAAGGTCTGCAACCACACAAATATCTGAAAAAGCTAGTTATATATGGGTATCCAGGAATCAAATTTCCTGATTGGGCTCTCCCAAATCTTATTGCTGCTGATTTCACCAACTGTAGAAGTTGTAAACATCTTCCAGCCCTTGGGAATCTTCTGCTACTTAAAACGCTTTCTTTGCATGGAATGCATGGCGTTAAGAAAATTGGTACAGAGTTCTATGGTAACGGTACAGACATATGGTTTCCATCACTCCAAGAACTATCAATAAGTGATTTTGCAAACTTGGAAGAGTGGTCAAGTGCAAATGATGGAAATGCATTCCGTAGATTGAAGAAAATAACTGTAAAGAGTTGCCCCAAGTTAGCACATATACCGTTACCTCAGTCCCTTCAACATTTGGAGCTGCGGGATTGTAATCCTACGATGGTGCCCATAGCAAATTTAAGTTTGCTATATGTTCTTATTGTTGACAAAATTCCAGACCTAGTGTCTCTCCCGGAAGGGCTCTTTGCATCAACTAGTCTGTCTTCCTTGAAGATTGTGTCCTGCCCCAAGCTTCATTCAATGCCTTTGGAGATCCAAAACCTTAGTTCTCTGAAATCATTGACCATTCGTTGGTGTGAAAAGCTATCCTCTCTACCACAAAGTTTACAGAACCTTAAAGCTCTGGAGTCACTGGAGATTAGTGGCTGTGGCAGCCTAAGATCCCTGCCAGATGGTGGAATTGCAGGTTTGGCTTCGCTTCGAACTTTGTCCATTGAAAACTGCAGTGACCTGACTTCTCTGTTGTCCGGTTTAGAACAGCTCACATTGCTTGAGGACATGACCATCATCGACTGTCAAAATCTTGGTTCTTTTCCAGCAGGTGTGCAACACCTCTCCTCTCTTCGAAGTTTGATGGTTCTGAACTGTCCTTGGCTTGATTCTCTGCCAGAAGGGTTGCAAAATGTCAAGACCCTGCACTGCTTGGAAATTAGTAGCTGCCACAATCTAACAACTTTGCCAGAATGGTTTGCGGATCTTGCTTCTCTTCGATCTTTGACCATATATCATTGTCCTAATTTGACACTACTGCCACTGGGTTTCAAGCTTCTCACTAAACTCCAGCACCTCTCTATTCAAGAATGTCCTGAACTTGAGGAAAGATGCAGACAAGGTAGCGGTGAGGATTGGTCGAAAATAGCCCATGTCCCACATAAGTACATTGGATCGCCTCAGGTAAGGCGGTCTGGCGAAGCGAGTACATCGGGAAGCTCTTCTGTCCAAGTATCTTCTCAGTAAGAAACTTCTATTTCATGGTCATCAACAATCTATTATCATTATGGTAAGTCATTCCTCCTGGTGTTGTCACTGTTGTGGTGTGCTTTTTTATTTTTATCTTTATAGTGGATTTCTGTATTTCTATGTACAGGACTGTTTTGAAAATCCTCTTTGTATTGTATGGATTTCAACATTAATAAAATTTCAACGTTTATTTTTGAATTTTGATTCTGTTTATTTTTGTTTTAAATAATGTATAGTCATATTGCATTGTTGTAGATTTTTGCTTGATAGTTGCCAATTTGCAATGCAACAGCAGAGTCACCAAAAGATGTGACATGGACTTTCAAATTACTGAATTCATGAAAGAAAGCTGTCATAACTGAAAATCTTTGTGCTTTATGCCCTCATCAAATGCAAATTTTGAATAGTTTCTGCTTCGGAATGTGAGTTTTATATGTTTTCGTACAATTCGTTGGATCTTTGTTGCTTGAAAATCTAAGGTGGGTTCGTTTAGGTCCAGATTGATCTGTGGTTAGTTTGTTGCTTGTTTGGCTTTAGCCTTTGATGGAATGTGATGAAATCTAACAGCAGGGCAGAAATTGACTTTTAAAAATAGTTCAAATGCTGAATTTTCTAAACAAGAGGTTAACGGGCAAATTTAAAGTATCAACCAATACGACAGTCTTCTTTTTATTGAATGACAAAGATGAACTTGAACAATGAAGACTAGCATTGACTTTGGTTGCTGCTTGCTCAAGCCATAATTCACCGCAACCAAAGAGCATTGCCATTTGCTTGCCCAGTTGGCCTTCCTCAGCCTCTTTCAGGTAATTCCTAGTACAACTTGCCTTCATCGTCAAGATTAATTACTACCAGTGTTTTAATCTATTGAAAAGCTTAGTGGAATTAAAAATGTAACAGTAATTTTTAAATTTTCAGTTAATAAAATGTCCAGCAAATTTTTTTTATTTTGCTCTGCTTCTTCTCCTAGCTTGATGGTACTGAGACAGGAGAAACCAGCGGATCAACTTCCTTTTTTGTGTGGCTTTAGGTCCCCAAGTAGTGATTGTTCTTTGCTTTCCTAGTCAAACATGGGGTCCTCTAAGGCTCTAGCCAAGAACAAGGATAGATTTTGGGTTCCACTCACCTTTTGTCCACTTATTTCTATTTAGAATTCGATTTCTGAACTCATATGAACTGTCCATTTGGTTCTGCTAACATGCATTCCTTTCCCCTTAATTCTCATTGTAATATCTTGTATAGTCATGCTGGAGGACAGTTTCAAGACGTAAACTTCTTGCAACTTCAACTTGAATTTCTACGTCATTTTTACATGCAGTAGGAAAGGATGATATTTATAACTAATGGGTTTGCTAGACAAGGTGAGAGTTGCCGACTTGATTGATGACGCGGTACCCGTTCCATCCACGTCATTAGAAGGCGAATCATGGGGGGCAACCGAGGAAGATAGTTCTTATATCTTGACAATTGAGGGGAATGTGGACGAAGCAAATCCCGAAAACAGTGAGCTCCAACGGTCTGAGCATACAGAAGAGAAGAGGAAGGAGTTTCACGTAGTGGCTTAGAAACAGAGAACGGTTTTGCAATTAAATCACAAGATGTTGATGGATCAAACTCTTGTGTAACAACTAAAAATGAAGTGTAGTGTAGTATAGGGGGAAAAATAGTGTAAAGCTTGATTTTTCACTCCTTGAAGGTGTCAAAAACTACTCTGCTAAATTTGTTTCAGGAAAAGTAGCAGGGGGTGCTAATTCTTTTTATCATACCACAGGCTTGTATATTTTTTATTCTATTTTATTTTTATATTTTCTGTCAATGCAAGAAATAGAAGAAAGTTTTTGTTTCTTTTTTCCTTTTGTTTCCCTCTTTCTAATTGTATGTTGTATCCTGAGTTTCAAGGTTGGTTATTTGATGGGGTCTTGTGCACAAGTTTCAATATAACTCTGTCTCATTTTTCTTTGATGGGCTAATTTTACATGTTCATCACATCACCATTATCATTATGTTGGGTTGGGATATATTCGCATCACCATTATCATAAAAACATGGCAATCTCTCAGAAATCAATAATATATTTTTTTGCTCAAAGAACTTATCAATTTTGGATATATTCTTGATGATGATGATTTTTTATTTTTTATTTTTATGTGCTTGATGATGATTATTGTTACTGTTTAAGAACAATTAGTTTTAGAAATAATTTTAATTTTGTTGACGTTAGCATCTAATGGACCATTAACTAACGAAAGAGTAGATTAAATCAAGTTCAAAGCTCTGGCATTGGCATTGTGATTTATCATGAAGTAGGGTTCATTTTGATAAAAATGCTAACCACAAGGGTATCCGTGTAATTATAGCATGTAAATTACTAGTTTTACAAACCCAAAGCTGAAAAGTGTTGACATGAAGTCAACTTTCCTGGCTTCTCTAAAGTCTAGGCTTCATGGGTTGATTGACCAAATTGAACTTCCACTTCTCTTTCAGATCAACTCCAACAATTCTCATCTCACTGTTTTAAGCCTTGTTTTCGCTGAATTGGTATTTCGTTGCTGCCGGAAATGGAAGCAGCAAACATAGTTTTATCCCCTGCTTTGCAAGTGATCTTTGACAGACTGGCATCCCCAGTCCTACAAAAGGCTGCTGATTTCTTGGGTTTTGATGACAACTTCCGGGGCCTACAACATGCCGTGGAGCGGGCTCAAGCTACTCTTGAAGATGCAGAAGATCAACAATTCACCAGCAGAGCTGTCAGACTTTGGTTGTCAAAGCTCAAGAATGCAGCTTATGATGCTGAAGACGATCTGCACTACTTGACTGTTAAAGGAATGAGAGGGGTTCTGAACGATCTTGGTGACACGATGACGAGAGCAGGTATGATGTCTTTTCAACTTGGAGACCTTATGCATGCTACCCAAACTGGTGCAGTGCTCCGGGCGTTAGAAGCAACTATAAATGAGGGGCTCAGTGAATTTAATTTTAAAGCGCCCAGTATGGTAGATGGTCGAACTACCATAAGCGAGACAAGTTCTTTTGTCATCGAGTCAGAGATATATGGAAGAGAAGATGACAAAGAGAAGTTGGTCAAACTGTTAATATCTTCTGAAGCTTGCCAGGAAGGATATGCAACATGTATTTCAATATTTGGTATTGGAGGAATTGGTAAGACCACTCTTGCTCAATTGGGATATAATGATGACAGGGTAATCCACCACTTTGATGTTAGGATGTGGATTTTTGTCTCTGATGATTTCAATGTTAAGAAGATCATGAAAGCAATTATTGAGTCTGCAACTAAGGAAGAGTGCAAGTTGTCCGAGATTGACTTGCTTCAGTCTCGGATTTGGAGTTTGTTGCACAATAAAAGATATCTCATTGTGTTAGATGATATTTGGACTGAAAACCAGGATGATTGGGACAAACTACGACCTTTGTTCAGAGGGGGTGTTGATGAATGCAAAATCATTGTCACCACCCGCAATACAAAAACCGCATTCATGACAGA